ATAGTAAGGCATGGGTCACGAGGGAAATTTTTGTAGAGTGGTTCAACGAAGTGTTTGGCCCTAGTGTGAAGAATTACCTCCTGGAAAAGAAATTGGATCTCAAGTGCCTCCTAGTAATGGACAATGCACCTGCTCATCCTCCAAACTTGGATGACCTAATTCTGAAGGAGTTTGGGTTCATCACAGTAAAGTTCTTGCCCCCGAATACCACTCCTCTCCTCCAACCCATGGACCAGCAGGTCATTGCAAACTTTAAAAAACTCTACACCAAAGCAATGTTTGAAAGGTGCTTGAATGTGACCTTAGACACTCACTTGACCCTACGAGATTTTTGGAAAGAACATTTCAGTATTCTCCATTGTGTAAGCCTTATAGGTAAGGCTTGGGAGGGAGTGACTACCAGGACTTTGAACTCTGCTTGGAGAAAATTGTGGCCAGATTGTGTCCACAAGAGGGATTTTGAAGGGTTTGGGGCTGACCCTGATGAGCCTATGTCAGTTGTTAAATCCATTGTGGCACTGGGGGCTTCCATGGGGTTGGATGTGAGTTTGGAGGATGTGGAAGAGTTGGTGGAGGACCACAACAAAGAGCTAACCACTGAGGAGCTGCAAGAGCTTCAGCAGGAACAGCAACAGATGGCAGCTCTGAATCTTGCTGCAGAGGAGGAGGAAGAGAGATGGAGGAAGGTGCCTTCTTCAGAAATTAAGGAGATTTTTGAAATGTGGGGTAGGATGGAAAGATTTATGGAGAAACATCACCCAGAGAAGGATGTTGCAAGCCATATCGGCAACTTGTACAGTGACAGAGTCTTGGCCCATTTTAGGGAAGTTTTAAAGAGACGCCAGAAACAGAGCTCTCTGGACAGTTTTTTTGCGAGACAGGACTCCAGTGACTCTCAAGGTGGTCCTAGTGGCATTAAGAAACAGAGAAGAGAAGTAACCCCAGAAAAGCAATTGGAACCCAAGGTGTTGATGGAAGGGGATTCCCCTTCCAAACAGTAATTCATCCAATCAGTCTCCTTCTCCAGTCTTCCATACACAAAGAAGAATCGCCAATAAAGGTAAGTGTTATTCTGTTAATGTTTAATTCATCATGTGCCACTGTATTGTTTATGTACTACATCTATATTTCATGTAAAAAAAAGTTTTTGCTTTAATACTTCTGGGTGTCAGGAACGGATTAATTGAATTTACATTATTTCTTATGGGGAAAATTGATTCGTAAATCGTCCATTTCGATAATAGTCCCACTTCCAGGAACGGATTACGGACGATTATTGAGGGACCACTGTATGTATGTATGTATGTATGTATGTATATATATATATGTATATATATATGTATGTATGTGTATATATATATATATATATATATATATATATATTATATATATATATATATATATATATATATATATATATATATATATATATATATATATATATATATATATATATATAAAATATTTGCAAAACAACACTCTGAAAGATAGAATATTCAAGCGCTTTCGATGACTACTCACATATCATAGTTCCTGAGTAATGTGAGTAGTCCCCGAAAGCGCTTGGAATTTCTATTTTTCAGAGTGGTTGTTTTGCATATTTTGAAATACCTGTTTACTGTGATCTTATTGCATATACATATATATAATATATATTTTTTATATATGATATATATATATAATATATATATATATTATTATTATAATATATTATTTTTACTTTTCTAGACAAAAACATGCAGATACTCCTTTTCAAGTGGAGGGAAGGGGCACAACAGCTCTAGGAGGAGAGGAGGCAGCCAGGTCCCGTAGTTACGCCATCTGCTTTGGGATGCATTTTAATTTGTTTGCACTTTGCAAAGTTTACAGACACTAATACCTCTAGCTCCATAACAATACAATGCTTTTAAGGTTGGATACTATAATAACATTTGGAGCTGTATTGATGCTGAGAATAATGAGAGTGGCAAAAAAAGTGGAAATGTCCTAACCTTGAAAGAAATTTCGCAAACACCAGAGAGGCAGGCAGGCTCTGAGAGAGCGAGGCTCAGGCTCAGCGAGCGTCAAGCCGTGTTGATGTGAGAGCACGTGGAACATCAGCGGCTGATGCGGCTGGACCCATGAGGTTGGTCACCGTCCCGGTATTTAAGGTCACACACATACTGACTCACTGGAGCGGGACACGAACCAGGACGAGTGGGTAAGGGTCATGAACCATTCGGTGACTTACTGCACCAGGTAAAGGGCCAGGGCAAGATTAATAATTAGGCTATTGTGTTTATGCCTGTTTTGGGGCCTTGTGGGACAGTGCCAGGTGGAGTGGGTTGAGCCTTGGAGCTATGCTACGGTAGCCTACCGTGAAAGAGTATAATAATAATAATAATAATAATAATAATAATAATAATAATATTGTTATTTTTATTAGGCTAAGTTTCAACATATTTACCCATATCTCAGAGATATGGGTAAATATGTTGAAACTCAGCCTAATGAAAATAACAATCATTAATATTATTATTATTATTATTATTATACTCTTTCACGGTAGGCTACCGTAGGCATAGCTCCAAGGCTCCAACCCACTCCACTCTGGCACTGTCCCACAAGGCCCAAAACAGGCATAAACACAATAGCCTAATGTATTAATCTTGCCCTGGCCCCTTTACCTGGTGCAGTAAGGTCACTGAATGGTTCATGAACTCTTACCTTCTCGTCCTGATTCGTGCCCGGCTCGCAGTGAGTCAGTATGTGTAGCTTGAATAGTGAGATATTATCTCACTATTCAAGCTACAAAAGTGTTGAGACCACTATTGAAAACAACAGAAAATTCTGTGAGATATAGTATTCGAATCAAACTGGCAGTGAAAGTTTGTACTAACTTATTTATTATCGTTGGTACTGTATTTCCATTTTTACCCTTTTCATATTTTTTTCGTTATATAGTTATATAAATTCTCCAAATTTAGAGCGGATGCCGAGGAGTACTTCTACGCTGTGTTCGTGAAAGCCAAAGATCTTCTAGTTGAAGTGGGCTCAGCTCACGATGACGTCCCTATTCCCAGAGTCTCTGCATGACAGACACAACGCGCGAATGTCCCAGCGGCATCTGCTGAGGAGTACTATCGGCGCTCGGTGTATTTTCCGTTCGTTGACCATGTGACCGCTGAGTTGAAGAGCAGATTTGATGATGACACTGTGCCCGTTGCTCTCCGATTGAAGGAGCTGCTCAGGGGCTCAAAAGCAAACGTGGATGCTGTTCTTAAAGCCACTAAACTCTACGAAAGTGACGTTGAGTCACTTTTGCTCGTGCAGACGGAAACACAGCGGTGGTCATGTTCTGCTCCGGCCTTCGAATCTGTCAAGAAAGCAAAGGAATACGCCGAGGCCCGTATGTTTCTGAACATCGCGAAGCTCCTTACCATCCTACTGACCCTGCCAGTCTCAAATGCAGAAGCCGAACGATCGTTCTCAGCCCTGAAATGCCTGAAGACATACTTGAGGAGCACCATAGGTAAGGATCGCCTCAACGGCCTCGCACTACTCGCCGTCCATAACGATGTACATGTTCCTGTTGATCGTGTGATCAACAAGTTTGCGGAAAAGAACCGCCGTCTTCTCTTTGCTTAGGCTGCAGTGTGATTAACCCTTTCAGTGTAATAACCTTTGCATGTTACTTTTAAGGCTACTATTATAGGTAATATTATAAAGTATAATGCTTACTGTCTTAAGCAGGTATGTGTATATATATATATATATATATATATATATATATATATATATATATATATATATATATATACTATATATATATATATATATATATATATATATATATATATATATATATATATATATATATATATATATATATATATATATATATATATATAATATATATATATATATATATATATATATATATATATATATATATATATATATATATATATTCTACATTTAAGTTAATGTCTAATGTAAAAGTCTCTAGCTATTAAATTCTTACTTTCAATAAAGTTTTAATAAGATACAAAATTCCTCACATTGTAAGGTCAGTGTTTTTTTTTCTCAGAAAAATTGGCCCTCTCATTTGGATCCGAAGAGAAACACTGGCACCTAGAGCAGATGGTTATGCTCATTCATTTAGGTCAGTCCGCCAGTAATTAACAAATAAGAATCCCGTTAGTGGAGAAACGGTAATGCTAATGCTCTTTAAACAACCAAAAATTCTGCCGTCGGGCCCCCCCAAACTTTGTTCCTAGATCCGCACCTGAAATTGAGCTCAAAGTAGCGGAAATATTCGATTTTTACCAATGTTCAGCAGTAAGCAAATCATACCACACGTCCAATACACTTCAACTGGGGTGTCTAATATTCTTTCACTAGTGCACTGATATTATTTATACCATTTTTACAATAATGCAGTAGTCTGCATAACAGTAAATTTTGTATTTTTTTGTATGAATAAAAAATCAAAATAGAAAGCAATAGTAATATAAGAGGGGCCTAGAGATATGACTAATGAACAGAGGATATGTTATTTTAGTGCCAAGAATGTCTACATTGTTTATTCTGGACCCTATTTTGAAATTGGCATCTTTTTTAATTTGTGTGAAATTGGCCAAATTGCCAATTTCTGACCACTTTATTGGGTAGTTCAAATCGGTAAATGGGCGGTTTCTTGTACTCAGCAGATAGAAAAAATGGAGTTCTAAAGAAATAGCTATGAGTTTGGTCAACTGGAACAAAGGACTTGGACAAAAACAAGGCTCAAAGTCGGCAAAATCGCCGATGCGCATATGTCGCCGAGACTGCTAACTTCGCGGGGGCGTAATTCCATGAGTTTTCAACCAAATTTCGTACTTTCAGTGTCACTACCATCGGGAAAAGATTTTCTATCATTTCATAAGAAAAAATTCATTTATTTTTTTTTCCAAAAATTTATCGACAAAGAATGAGTTTCAGAAAGGGGCCTCCAACAGCCAAAGAGTTAAACAACTTACCCATCAGCACAGTCTTCATGGCCATCACATAGGCGGTTGCTGGAGATACATCCACTAGAATGTCTACACTGGAATTCCTCTAAGTCAACACATGTGGAGGTTTGGTGACAATTTTCTTCATCTTCCCCACCAGGACAATCCTTGTCTTTATCACACACCCATGTTTCCCATATGCATGACCCCGTGTTACACTGAAATTGATCCTGGGAAGAAGAAAAAAAAAAAAAGGTCATTTAAGAATATAAAAAAAATTAACATTTATAGTAGAAGTTTTTTTTTTTTTCAACAAGTCGGCCGTCTCCCACCGAGGCAGGGTGACCCAAAAAAAAAAAAAAAGAAAATCCCCAAAAAGAAAATACTTTCATCATCATTCAACACTTTCACCTCACTCACACATAATCACTGTTTTTGCAGAGGTGCCCAGAATACAACAGTTTAGAAGTATATATATATAAAAATACACAATATATCACTCTAAACTGCCAATATCCCAAACCCCTCCTTTAGAGTGCAGGCATTGTACTTCCCATTTCCAGGACTCAAGTCCGGTTATATAAAATAAGCAGTTTCCCTGAATTCCTTCACTAAATATTACCCTGCTCACACTCCAACAGCTCGTCAGGACCCAAATACCATTCACTCCTATCTAACACGCTCACGCACACTTGCTGGAAGTCCAAACCCCTCGCCCACAACACATCCTTTACCCCCTCCCTCCAACCTTTTCAAGGATGACCCCTACCCCGCATTTCTTCCCCTACAGATTTATAGGCTCTCCATGTTATTCTACTTTGATCCATTCTCTTTAAATGAACAAACCACCTCAACAAACCCTCTTCAGCCCTCTGACTAATACTTTTATTAACTCCACACCTTCTCCTAATTTCCACACTCCGAATTTTCTGCATAATATTTACACCACACATTGCCCTTAGACAGGACATCTCCACTGCCTCCAACCGTCTCCTCGCTGCTGCATTTACCACCCAAGCTTCACACCCATATAAGAGTGCTGGTACTACTATACTTTCATACATTCCCTTCTTTGCCTCCATAGATAACGTTTTTTGACTCCACATATACCTCAACGCACCACTCACCTTTTTTCCCTCATCAATTCTATGATTAACCTCATCCTTCATAAATCCATCTGCCGACACGTCAACTCCCAAGTATCTGAAAACATTCACTTCCTCCATACTCGTCCTCCCCAATTTGATATCCAATTTTTCTTTATCTAAATCATTTGATACCCTCATCACCTTACTCTTTTCTATGTTCACTTTCAACTTTCTACCTTTACACACATTCCCAAACTCATCCACTAACCTTTGCAATTTTTCTTTAGAATCTTCCATAAGCACAGTATCATCAACAAAAAGTAACTGTGTCAATTCCCATTTTGAATTTGATTCCCCATAATTTAATCCCACCCCTCTCCTGAACACCCTAGCATTTACTTCTTTTACAACCCCATCTATAAATATATTAAACAACCATGGTGACATTACACATCCCTGTCTAAGACCTACTTTTACCGGGAAGTAGTCTCCCTCTCTTCTACACACCCTAACCTGAGCCTCACTATCCTCATAAAAACTCTTTACAGCATTTAGTAACTTAACACCTATTCCACATACTTGCAACATCTGCCACATTGCTCCTCTATCCACTCTATCATATGCCTTTTCTAAATCCATAAATACATTAAAAACTTCCCTACCTTTATCTAAATACTGTTCACGTATATGCTTCAATGTAAACACTTGATCTACACATTCCCTACCCACTCTGAAACCTCCTTGCTCATCCGCAATCCTACTTTCTGTCTTACCTCTAATTCTTTCAATTATAACTCTACCGTACACTTTTCCTGGTATACTCAGTAAACTTATTCCTCTATAATTTTTACAATCTCTTTTGTCCCCTTTCCCTTTATATAAAGGGACTATACATGCTCTCCGCCAATCCCTAGGTACCTTCCCCTCTTTCATATATTTATTATTCATATATTTATTAAACAAAAGTACCAAGCACTCCAACACTGTATCCTCCCTGCTTTTAACATTTCTGTCATGATCCCATCAGTTCCAGCTGCTTTACCCCCTTTCATTCTACGTAATGCCTCACGTACCTCCCCCACACTTACATTCTGCTCTTCTTCACTCCTAAAAGATGGTATACCTCCCTGACCAGTGCATGAAATTACCGCCTCCCTTTCTTCCTTAACATTTAAAAGTTCCTCAAAATATCTCCCCATCTACTAACTCCCCTACTCTGTTTTTAACTGACAAATCCATACTTTCCCGAGGCTTTCTTAACTTATTTAACTCACTCCATAATTTTTTCTTATTTTCATTAAAATTTCTTGACAGCGCCTCTCCCATTCTATCATCTGCTCTCCTTTTGCACTCTCTCACCACTCTCTTCACCTTTCTTTTACTCTCCATATACTCTGCTCCTCTTATAACACTTTTGCTTTGTAAATACCTTTCATAAGCTACCCTTTTCTCTTTAATCACACCCTTTACTTCATCATTCCACCAATCACTCCTCTTTCCTCCTGCACTCACCCTCCTATAACCACAAACTTCTGCCCCACATTCTAATACTGCATTTTTTAAACTATTCCAACCCTCTTTAACCCTCCCACTACTCATACTTGTACCAGCCCACCTTTCTGCCAATTTTTTTTTTTTTTTTTTTCAACAAGTCGGTCGTCTCCCACCGAGGTAGGGTGACCCAAAAAAGAAAGAAAATCCCCAAAAAGAAAATACTTTCATCATCATTCAACACTTTCACCACACTCACACATTATCACTGCTTTTGCAGAGGTGCTCAGAATACAACAGTTTAGAAGCATATACGTATAAAGATACACAACATATCCCTCCAAACTGCCAATATCCCAAACCCCTCCTTTAAAGTGCAGGCATTGTACTTCCCATTTCCAGAACTCAAGTCCGACTATATGAAAATAACCGGTTTCCCTGAATCCCTTCACTAAATATTACCCTGCTCACACTCCAACAGATCGTCAGGTCCCAAGTATCATTCGTCTCCATTCACTCCTATCTAACACGCTCATGCACGCTTGCTGGAAGTCCAAGCCCTCGCCCACAAAACCTCCTTTACCCCTCTTTCCAACCCTTTCGAGGACGACCCCTACCCCTCTTTCCTTCCCCTATAGATTTATATGCTTTCCATGTCATTCTACTTTGATCCATTCTCTCTAAATGACCAAACCACCTCAACAACCCTCTTCTGCCCTCTGACTAATGCTTTTATTAACTCCACACCTTCTCCTAATTTCCACACTCCGAATTTTCTGCATAATATTTACACCACACATTGCCCTTAGACAGGACATCTCCACTGCCTCCAACCGTCTCCTTGCTGCTGCATTTACCACCCAAGCTTCACATCCATATAAGAGTGTTGGTACTACTATACTTTCATACATTCCCTTCTTTGTCTCCATAGATAACGTTTTTTGACTCCACATATACCTCAACGCACCACTCACCTTTTTTCCCTCATCAATTCTATGATTAACCTCATCCTTCATAAATCCATCCGCCGACACGTCAACTCCCAAGTATCTGAAAACATTCACTTCTTCCATACTCCTCCTCCCCAATTTGATATCCAATTTTTCTTTATCTAAATCATTTGATACCCTCATCACCTTACTCTTTTCTATGTTCACTTTCAACTTTCTACCTTTACACACATTCTCAAACTCATCCACTAACCTTGGCAATTTTTCTTTAGAATCTCCCATAAGCACAGTATCATCAGCAAAAAGTAACTGTGTCAATTCCCATTTTGAATTTGATTCCCCATAATTTAATCCCACCCCTCTCCCGAACACCCTAGCATTTACTTCTTTTACAACCCCATCTATAAATATATTAAACAACCACGGTGACATCACAATAGCTGCTTATATTTCACCCAAACTTCCTCCTCCCTTAGTTTATACACTTTCATCTCCCTCTTACTTCTTGTTGCCATTTTCCTCTTATCCCATCTACCTCTTACTCTAACTGTAGCTACAACTAGATAATGATCCGATATATCAGTTGCCCCTCTATAAACGTGTACATCCTGGAGCCTACTCATCAACCTTTTATCCACCAATACATAATCTAACAAGCTACTTTCATTACGTGCTATATCATACCTTATATATTTATTTATCCTCTTTTTCATAAAATATGTATTACTTATTACCAAACCTCTTTCTACACAGCTCAATTAAAGGCTCCCCATTTTCATTTACCCCTGCCACTCCAAATTTACCTACTACTCCCTCCACAACATTTTTATCCACTGTAGCATTAAAATCCCCAACCACAAGTACTCTCACACATGGTTCAAAACTACCCACGCATTCATTCAAAATTTCCCAAAATCTCTCTCTCTCCTCTATACTTCTCCCTTCCCCAGGTGAGTATACGCTTACTATAACCCACTTCTCAATCCAACCTTCATTTGCCTCCACATAATCCTTGAATTAATATATTGATAGTCCCTCTTTTCCTGCCATAGCTTATCCATCAACATTATTGCTACTCCTTCCTTAGCTCTAACTCTATTTGACACCCCTGGCCTAATCCCATTTATTCCTCTCCACTGAAACTTACCAACCCCCTTCAGATTTATTTCACTTAAAGCCAGGGCATCCAGCTTCTTCTCATTCATAACATCCCCAATCATCTCTTTCTTATCATTCGCACAATATCCACGCACATTCAGACTTCCCACTTTGACAATTTTCTTTTTATTCTTTTTAGTAATTATTACAGGAAAATGGGTTACTAGCCCATTGTTCCCGGCATTTTAGCTGACTTTTACAACACGCATGGCTTACGGAGGAAAGATTCTCATTCCACTTCCCTGTGCGTATAAAAGGAAAAGTAATAAAAGCTAAGATAAAATCAAAGAAAACTCAGATGAGTGTGTATAAATAAGAGTGTACATGTATGTTTAGTGTGACCTAAGTGTAAGTAGAAGCAGCAAGACATACCTGTAATCTTGCATATTTATTAGACAGACAAGAAGACACCAGCAATCCTACCATCATGTAAAACAATTACAGGCTTTCGTTTTACACTCGCTTGGCAGGACGGTAGTACCTCCCTGGGTGGTTGCTGTCTATCTCATTCTGAGATACCATCTATCAAGAAAGATGGCCAAACATTTTTGTTTTAGATTTAATATAGGTTAACCATGCAGGTCAAGGACTTGTTCCTTTAGGTTTCTCAAGCTTCTGGTTGTTTTACAGAGAACAAAATAAATTTTTGTAGTGTGGAGGATAAAATGTTTTAACCCTGAAAATGTCAACTAGACACACCTTAATACATAATGACTGAACAAAGACCTTTGCATCTTTAACCCTAAGTACAGGCATCCCTAATTTATCAAAGTATGAATGCAAGATCATTACATAACAGGGAGGACTGAAAAAAATTGAGGCTTTCAACTTATGGAGGGAGGGAGCATTAGTGGGTCCTGAGTAAGAGAAGCCAAAAGTTACAGAATGAAAATAAGCTACTCTAAATCTGAAGAAATATACAAAAGCAGGCAACCCTCAATTTAAGTAGCCTTAATATTTATTCTTTCAACAAACCGGCCGTATCCCACCGAGTCAGGTTGGCCCAAAAAGAAAAATGAAAGTTTATACAGGAGAAGGGGTTATTAGCCCCTTGCTCCCGGCATTTTAGTCACCTATTACAACACGCATGGCTTACGGAGGAAGAATTCTGTTCCACTTCCCCATGGAGATAAGAAGAAATAAACAAGAACAAGAAAGAAAATAGAAAAAAAACCAGAGAGGTGTATATATACACTTGTACCTGTATGTGTAGTGTGACCTAGGTTTAAGGCAAAATAGCAAGACATACCTGAAATCTTGCATGTTCATGAGACAGAAAAAAGGACACCAGCAATCCTACCATCATGTAAAACAATTACAGGCTTTCGTTTTACACTCACTTGGCATGACGGTAGTACCTCCCTGGGCGGTTGCTGTCTACCAACCTACTACCTAGATAAATACTATATATTACCCCATTTTATTATCATCAATGCTTCATTCAAATTCACTCTAACACATTTTACATTTCCCATCAAGAAGAAAATGCCTTTACCATTACTCATTTTTGAGCTGTCTTTCCAAAAGAGCACGCATTACCAATACTGTACTACATAGCCATTGGATCAAGCATGATCCTCTGTAAAGCTAAAGCTTCAAAGCGTGATTTCTAGAGAGTAACCCAAATTTTATCATATAGTATGAGAGAAGCTTAAATAAATAAATAAATTAAATACTCATATCCAAGAGATACAGAACATAATTTTTTTAAAATTGAATGACACTGTGGAACTATCATAAAGCCTTTTTTCAAACATTTGCTTTTTTTTAGTATGAATTTACTGTAAAAGCCAATTTTTCTACAATGTATAATTAGACTTCAAATTCATATACAGTATCCAACCTTATGAACTGAGGCTGTGGAATTACACCCACCTCCTGGCAAGAATGTGTGGCAGCTGTTGTTGGCATTGCAGTTGTAGTATTGCTGTGTACCCCTGGCAGACCACACCCATCTTCATCAGAGGCATCCCCACAATCATCTAATCCATCACATCGCCACCAGAATGGGATGCAGATTTTATTTTCACATCGAAACATAAATTCAGTACAATTAAGACTTGTAGGTGGGAAAAGAGGGCCAAGAGGAATAGAAGGCTGTGGTGTAGTGGAAGTAACATCGGTGCAATTAAGTTCATCTGAACCATCTCCACAATCACGTTCTCCATCACACTTCCAAGACCTAGAGATAAAATACATATAAAAAAAAAATGCAGAACTTTGCATGCTTACAACAAGTTATTTTGCCCAAAAATGCATGACATTTTCTTTTTAAATGTACAACAAATAAATTAACCTTGTTACAGAGTTATTTATCTAATGTAACTAGAATACAGTTGAGCACTGCTAGTCTGCCTCCAATGGACATGGAGCCATCCAGACTAACAAGAAATCTGAATTAGAACAACCAAAATACACACTAAAAATCGTACAAGTTCGCAGGAATTTTTTAAAAGGTAAAACATTACTAATAAAAAAAAAAAGAATGGTACTCATTAACGCTTGTAGTCGATCTCTTCCCATGTGTTTCTACATGGAAATATTTATAAAAACTGTTGTTCTCTGCATTAAGTTAAACTGAATATGATACAAGTGAGACATCTGTATAATCCAAAGAAATGTACTTTATTTATACCTAGCTCTTTGTCTAAGAGATCAATATTACACAACTATTGATGTTGCATCATAGTGAGTGCAAGAACATAATAGTGATTTGTATACACTACTCATAAAATGTTACACTTACTACTTTATTCCAATTTAAAGAGAAATTCCACCTCTTTCTAAAACTGAGTTAAGAGCCCTAGCTTTAATGAAATTAACCCTTTGACTGTTTCAGGCCCCTCTGAAACTGTCATTCTATGTCGCTCAATTTTTGAAAAAAAAAAAAATTATTTTTTCTTATGAAATGATAGAGAATCTTTTCCCGATGGTAATGACACCAAAAGTTTGAAATTTGGTCGAAAACTCGTGGAATTATGCTCCCGCGAAGTTAGCGGTCTCGGCGACATATGTGTATCGGCGATTTCGCCGACTTTGAGCTCAATTTTCAGCCAATTCCATTGTTCCAGTTGACCAAACTCATAGCTATTTCTTTAGAACTCCATTTTATCTATCAGCTGAGTACAAGAAACCTCCCATTTACTAATTTGGACTACCCAATATGGTGGTCAGAAATTGGCAATTTGGCCAATTTCACGCAAAATAAAAAAGATGCCAATTTCAAAATAGGGTCCAGAATAAACAAGGTAGACATTCGTGGCACTAAAATAACATATGCTCTGCTCATTAGTCACATCTCTAGGCCCCTCTTATATTATTATTGCTTTCTATTTTGATTTTTTATTCATACAAAAAAATACAAAATTTACTGTTATGCAGACGACTGCATTATTGTAAAAATGGTATAAATAATATCAGTGCACTAGTGAAAGAATATTAGACTCCCCAGTTGACGTGTATTGGACGTGTGGTGTGATTTATTTACTCTTGAACATTGGTAAAAATCGAACATTTCCGCTACTTTGAGCTCAGTTTCAAGGTCGTTTTCATCGTAAAAGTAATGAAAATCATCTCTATTTCTGTAATATGTTTTCCATTTTATCACCTAAGACCATGAAAACGCGAATACAACGATAAATACTATACGAAAATACACCTCAAAGTCGGCGTTTTATTCCAAAAAAACGATCAGTTTTTTTTTTCTCATTACGCAATGTGTGCTGCAGGATTTTTTTTATGTGGTGCACACTGACCACACAGACCCAGTCTCTCACATGTGGGCCTACCAGCTTTCTCCCACTTGATTTGAAGCCGCTAGAATTATTGAGTATATATACGTCAGAAACATTGGCTCGTAAGACGTATTTATACGTCGAAAACAGTCAAAGGGTTAATGGCCTGAATGAACTGCATCACATTCTGAAACTTATGTGACAACCTCTGAAATCAAGAGGACAAGCACAGCGTGTCATCTTGCCCCACTTGTATATATCACCTTGCCCATTTTGTATCTGTCATCTTGCCTTCTTGCTGCGCTTGTATTTGTCATCTTGTCGCACTTGTATTTGTCACTTTGCTGCACTTGTATTTGTCATCTTGCCCCTCTAGAATTTATTGCTTTGCCTCACCTGTATCTGTCACCTTGCCCAATTTATATTTATCACCTTGCCCTACTTGTATTTGTCACCTTGCCCTACTTATATTTGTCACCTTGCCCTACTTGTATTTGTCACCTTGCCCTACTTGTATTTGTTACCTTGCCCTTCTTGTATTTGTCACCTTGCCCTACTTGTATTTGTCACCTTGCCCTGCTTGTATTTGTTACCTTGCCCTTCTTGTATTTGTTTCCTTGCCCTTCTTGTATTTGTTACCTTGCCCTGCTTGTATTTATTACTTTGCCCCTCTTGTATTTGTCATTCTGTCCCACCTGTATTTGTCATCTTGCATCACTTGTATTCGTCATCTAGCACCTCTTGCATTTATCATTTTGTCCCTTTTGCATTTGTCACCTTGCCTTCTTGTATTTGTCATCTTGCCCCTTTTGTATTTATCACCTTGCCCTACTTGTATTTGTCACCTTGCCCTACTTGTATTTGTCACTGTGCCCTACTTGTATTAGTCACCTTGCCCTACTTGTATTTGTCACCTTGCCCCTCTTGTATTTGTCACCTTGCCCATTTTGTATGTCACCTTGCCCTACTTGTATTTGTCACCTTGCCCCTTAGGAATCAAGCCATACAGTTTACTGGCCTAAGTTAAAAATTTTCATTTTAATAAATGTTTTAATTTTTAGTGAAAAATACATTAAAGAATTAAGAAACATATTATCCTTACTTGAAAATACACTGCTTGTTTCCACACTGGAACTGCCAGGCTTCACAAGTATATTTATCACAGTCATTTTCGTCAGATTTATCAGGACAATCAGCATCACCGTCACATCGCCAGGAGCTGGGCAAGCATCGCCCATCAGAGGCACAGGTCAACTCAGTGGCTGTTAAAAAAGATCACTCAGTTTTGTATTTGTGAATGAACATTATATATGCTGTCATTGGCTGATAGGAGAGGGGGAAATTTAATAACCAGGCTAAAAATGTAGAATGTCAACAAATAGATGAAGAGGACTCCTGAACATCAACACCTGTGAATATCAAAATGGTATACAATACCAACAAGTTTCTTAATAACACACATATGCAACATTTAGCCATCTTTATTTCGAAACATTTCACCTACACAGTGGCTTCTTCAGTTGAGAACAGAAAGTAGGCAGGAGCAGTAGAGATGTGAAGACAATGTAATCAGTCCATCACCCTTGAAGATGTAGATTTTGAGGTTGTCAGTCCCTCAGCCTGGAGAAGAATTCTGTTTCATAGTCTGAAACAATGGGAAGAACCAGCGACAGTGTGGAGACTTATATACTGTTGGCAGGAGAGGTGTAGAGTAGTATGTGTCTTATTACCAACTTGTCAGTATTGTATACCGTTTTGATACTCACTCTGTCAGACATCTTGGTACAGAAGGCAAAACACCTTGGACAACTTTTTCAAGATAGAATGGTTGAATCTAAGAGGGACATGACCTCTCAGTGATTACATTCTTTCTCCTACTACTCTACACCTCTCCTGCCAACAGCATACAATCTACTGCTGCTGCCTACTTTCTGTACTCGACAGAAGAAGCTTACTGTGTAGGCGAAAAGTTTTGGAATAAAGATATCTAAATGTTGCCTATGTGTCTTATTACCACGTCAACACCAGGGAGAGGAAGAGGCTACACCTGAAGTTGTAAACTGAGGAGGAAGAGATGTATAAAAATTTTTTATCAAGTTCTTCGCAAACAAAATGGAAAACAATTTATTCGGCTACAATAGCTACTAAGTGCTACAACAACAAGAATTTTATTGTATGACAGATCAGATATCAAAGATGAGACATGAAGTACCTCTTGTAACTGTCAAAAAAGTAATTACAGTACAAATAGATGTTGCACATACTGAGGAAATCTAAACTAAAAAAGGGTCAGTATTTAAGATGCTGGGTGGCAGAAAAAATAATTGCCAAATTCAAACAATGGATAAAAATGCAGGTGGGAGGGAGATTGTTGCCATGAGGCTCAAGTTACCATATTTTGTCGTGGAGCTCTATATGCAGAAAATATCTACACATTTCCACAGACATACAGAATTTTAAGGAACTGATTCATTCACTAACTCAGATTTTAGCAGTAGTGGCATTTTTTCTTCTGTTATTTAATACGTCACTTTAGCTACTCAGCAGTTAGGTGATAATTTATAGTTTACAATGGGATTTGCAATAAACATTGCTATTTTTGTAAGTAAACTGTTATGGTGCTCTTGTTTTTTCTATATATACAACAGTTATGTGGATTAAAGTAAAGGTTGGATGTGAAAAGTGGGTCATAATAAGCATGTATGCACCTGGAGAAGAGAGGAAAGTAGAGGAGAGACAGATTTTGGGAGATATTAAGTGAATGTATAGGAACCTTTGAACCAAGTGAGAGAGTAACTGTGGTAGGGGACCTGAATGCTGAAGTAGGAGAAACTTTTAGAGAGGGTGTGGTAGGTAAGTTTGGGGTGCCAGGTGTAAATGATAATGGGAGCCCTTTGATTGAACTTTGTATAGAAAGGGGTTTAGTTACAGGTAATACATATTTTAAGAAAAAGAGGATAAATACGTATACAAGATATGATGTAGGGTGTAATGACAGTCGTTTGTTGGATTGTGTATTGGTAGATAAAAGACTGTTGAGTAGACTTCAGGATGTACATGTTTATAGAGGGGCCACATATATATCAGATCACTCTTTAGTTGTAGCTACACTGAGAGTAAAAGGTAGATGGGATACAAGGAGAATAGAAGCATCAGGGAAGAGAGAGGTGAAGGTTTATAAACTAAAAGAGGAGGCAGTTAAGGTAAGATATAAACAGCTATTGGAGGATAGATGGGCTAATGAGAGCATAGGCAATGGGGTCGAAGAGGTATGGGCTAGGTTTAAAAATGTAGTGTTAGAGTGTTCAGCAGAAGTTTGTGGTTACAGGAAAGTGGGTGCGGGAGGGAAGAGGAGCGATTGGTGAAATAATGATGTAAAGAGAGCAGTAAGGGAGAAAAAGTTAGCATATGAGAAGTTTTTACAAAGTAGAAGTGATGCAAGGAGGGAAGAGTATATGGAGAAAAAAGAGAGGGGTTAAGAGAGTGGTGAAGCAATGTAAAAAGAGAGCAAATGAGAGAGTGGGTGAGATGTTATCAACAAATTTTGTTGAAAATAAGAAAAAGTTTTGGAGTGAGATTAACAAGTTAAGGAAGCCTAGAGAACAAATGGATTTGTCAGTTAAAAATAGGAGAGGAGAGTTATTAAATGGAGAGTTAGAGGTATTGGGAAGATGGAGGGAATATTTTGAGGAATTGTTAAATGTTGATGAAGATAGGGAAGCTGTGATTTCGTGTATAGGGCAAGGAGGAATAACATCTTGTAGGAGTGAGGAAGAGCCAGTTGTGAGTGTGGGGGAAGTTCGTGAGGCAGTAGGTAAAATGAAAGGGGGCAAGGCAGCCGGGATTGATGGGATAAAGATAGAAATGTTAAAAGCAGGTGGGGATATAGTTTTGGAGTGGTTGGTGCAATTATTTAATAAATGTATGGAAGAGGGTAAGGTACCTAGGGATTGGCAGAGAGCATGCATAGTTCCTTTGTATAAAGGCAAAGGGGACAAAAGAGTGCAAAAATTATAGGGGGATAAGTCTGTTGAGTATACCTGGTAAAGTGTATGGTAGAGTTATTATTGAAAGAATTAAAAGTAAGACTGAGAATAGGATAGCAGATGAACAAGGAGGCTTTAGGAAAGGTAGGGGGTGTGTGGACCAGGTGTTTACAGTGAAACATATAAGTGAACAGTATTTAGATAAGGCTAAAGAGGTCTTTGTGGCATTTATGGATTTGGAAAAGGCGTATGACAGGGTGGATAGGGGGGCAATGTGGCAGATGTTGCAGGTGTATGGTGTAGGAGGTAGGTTACTGAAAACAGTGAAGAGTTTTTACGAGGATAGTGAGGCTCAAGTTAGAGTATGTAGGAAAGAGGGAAATTATTTCCCAGTAAAAGTAGGCCTTAGACAAGGATGTGTGATGTCACCGTGGTTGTTTAATATATTTATAGATGGGGTTGTAAGAGAAGTAAATGCGAGGGTCTTGACAAGAGGTGTGGAGTTAAAAGATAAAGAATCACACATAAAGTGGGAGTTGTCACAGTTGCTCTTTGCTGATGACACTGTGCTCTTGGGAGATTCTGAAGAGAAGTTGCAGAGGTTGGTGGATGAATTTGGTAGGGTGTGCAAAAGAAGAAAATTAAAAGTGAATACAGGAAAGAGTAAGGTTATGAGGATAACAAAAATATTAGGTGATGAAAGATTGGATATCAGATTGGAGGGAGAGAGTATGGAGGAGGTGAATGTATTCAGATATTTGGGAGTGGACGTGTCAGCAGATGGGTCTATGAAGGATGAGGTGAATCATAGAATTGATGAGGGGAAAAGGGTGAGTGGTGCACTTAGGAGTCTGTGGAGACAAAGAACTTTGTCCTTGGAGGCAAAGAGGGGAATGTATGAGAGTATAGTTTTACCAACACTCTTATATGGGTGTGAAGCATGGGTGATAAATGTTGCAGCGAGGAGAAGGCTGGAGGCAGTGGAGATGGCATGTCTGAGGGCAATGTGTGGTGTGAATATAATGCAGAGAATTCGTAGTTTGGAAGTTAGGAGGAGGTGCGGGATTACCAAAACTGTTGTCCAGAGGGCTGAGGAAGGGTTGTTGAGGTGGTTCGGACATGTAGAGAGAATGGAGCGAAACAGAATGACTTCAAGAGTGTATCAGTCTGTAGTGGAAGGAAGGCGGGGTAGGGGTCGGCCTAGGAAAGGTTGGAGGGAGGGGGTAAAGGAGGTTTTGTGTGCGAGGGGCTTGGACTTCCAGCAGGCGTGCGTGAGCGTGTTTGATAGGAGTGAATGGAGACGAATGGTTTTTAATACTTGACGTGCTGTTGGAGTGTGAGCAAAGTAACATTTATGAAGGGGTTCAGGGAAACCGGCAGGCCGGACTTGAGTCCTGGAGATGGGAAGTACAGTGCCTGCACTCTGAAGGAGGGGTGTTAATGTTGCAGTTTAAAAACTGTAGTGTAAAGCACCCTTCTGGCAAGACAGTGATGGAGTGAATGATGGTGAAAGTTTTTCTTTTTCGGGCCACCCTGCCTTGGTAGGAATCGGCCAGTGTGTTAATAAAAAAACAACAACAGTTGCTTCCTAGGTAGTCGGTTGGTAGACAGCAACCGCCCAGGGAGGTACTACCGTCCTGCCAAGCGCGTATAAAACGAACGAAAGCCTGTAATTGTTTTACATGATGGTAGGATTGCTGGTGTCCTTTTTTCTGTCTCATGAACATGCAAGATTTCAGGTACGTCTTGCTGATTCTACTTACACTTAGGTCACACTACACATACATGTACAAGCACATCCATACACACCCCTCTGGGTTTTCTTCTATTATCTTTCTAATTCTTATTCTTGTTTATTTCCTCTTATCTCCATGGGGAAGTGGAATAGAATTCTTCCTCCGTAAGCCATGCATGTTGTAAGAGGCAACTAAAATGCCAGGAGCAAGGGGCTAGTAACCTCTTCTCCTGTATATATTACTAAATGTAAAAGAAGAAACTTTCGTTTTTCCTTTTGGGCCACCCCGCCTCGGTGGGATATGGCCGGTGTGTTGAAAGAAAGACAACAGTTGCTTGCAGTTTTAATACATAAACTCTCCAATATTTAATGCGTTGTGCAATGAAAAGGTACATTTTCTGCCTAGGCAAAAAAAATTTTAACCCCCAAAAAACCTAACCTAACTAAGAATTTAACTCAAGATGCTGGTTAGGCTACAGTCTTTAACTTAAAATTTAGGTTATTTTTTTTTTTTTTTTGGGTGAATTATTCGGATACATAG